ATTCATTTTAAATGTTTTTGTGAATTAGGTTTGCAAATTTGCTCATAAACTGGTTTGGTGGTTGTAATAACAGTATATCCAGTGTCATTTCTTCAATGCACATCATGGCGACATGGTTAAAATGTCAAACCTAACTACTCTAAAATATATATAATTTATAGTTGGATACAGTATTCCTCAGATTGCTCTTTGCTCTGAACAGCACCTATTAACTAAAACAACTCTAAATACTATGGGAATGTGTAGTGATTTTATTTGCTTTGGGAGATATGCTACTGAGGCGTGGCTAACCTTTGACTGATAAAGCAGAATAATAAAACTCCTTGGACTGATTCCAGATTCGGGTAATTAGCTGAGTAGGTGTAGGAGGGATGGGAGTGACGCGTGCCACCTGTCCTCTTCACACAATACAGGAATGTGCTCATTGAGCCCAATGCTTTTTATGGGGCACTTAAAACAGTCATGATTTGACTTGCTTTAATGTCTAATGGGGACTAAATCATATCATTTGAGGAAATGGGATTTATATACACCTATTTGAAATGTATAATTTAAAGGTATATATCAGGATTTTCCTGAATTTTAGGAAAGAACCGCCCTCTCCAATTTTTTAACAAAACTGTTGATGATCCACCCATAGTAGAAAATCTTCCCTTTTTAATATTGTGGAATATTTTATATAAATATGTGCTTTGTCATTTCTACCTAGGGTTCACCATTTTGGGATTCATTTTTTGAGATGAACCAAATTTAACCTTTTGAACTTACATTTATGCAATTTATTACTGTTTATTACTACTACTTATAACTCTACTGAGAATGAATTTTGAGTGCGTAAAAGAAAGTAACCCAACTACAACATGGTCAAAATTTGGGATTAGTCAAGCTGTGTAAGGTGTTATGTCCTTGTTGCTTCTGCTTTGTCAAATTCCATTGCAATGTAAACTTAATCTTGATCTTGTGATCAAAGTGGATCTGTATGTGTCTTTATTATTAGAGGTCAACCAAATGTCTCTATAAATAGAAAATTAACTAGCTCCCACCATATGATATGTTCTGGATGTATTTGAAATGAGCCGTCCTGAACCTGAAGCTATATTATCAACCACAAGTAGAGCTAAACTTCAAATTTCTCAAGCTACATGTTGCTAGCCGTCTGTTTTCGCTCCTGTATTGTATGTTGCATGGCTGTTATGTGTTTTCTGAGTTGTACTAATCTAGTTCTGACACATGTCGAGATCACAAGAGCCTGATAGCACTAATAGCAACGGTATCTTTTCTTACAACAGTCTAAACCGTGTATTAATCAGTAATCCCCTTCAGTCCTCAACTTGTTTATCGCTCTTATCTAAAGTCCTGCATCATCTCAAAGTGCCTCCAGGATTCAGGAAAAAGCAGCGTTAAAGTTACAGGACCATCTCCTCAAGTTCATGTTAAGTATAATTGATTCATCTGTTTCTGATTAGATCGACCTCCGCTCAGTTTTTATCTTGTGCTTCTTCGGCATAGCTGTAGTTTGCATATGCTTCAAATGAAAGCAATGGATTAAAATGGTGAATACACAAGTAGTGCTATATATTTGAATGTTTTTCATTCCATTAAGCTTATTTTGTTTTAGATGGAAAACATGTCTGCTCTAGTTGCCATTCTCTGCTATGGATTTTTTATTTTATTTTACAATTTATTGAAATAAATCTCATGTGCCTCTCTTTATTGAAAATACTGGTATGGTACTATAAACGTCATCACTACATATTATTGACATGGCAGCCGATTACTGATTTTTGTTGTTGTTAATTTCCGTCTGTGGGGAACAGATTGTCAGAGAAAACACACATGAAGATTAAGAGATTCTTTATTCATCCCACAGTGGGGAAATTTCATTGTTGCATTACAGGTTACAGAACAGTACTGAGTGAGGAGCACACAGAACAAGATAAATGAACACTATACTAAAAATAGAAACTGTACTTTAGCGTAAGAGAAGCAAGTCAAAGATCTCTGACTTTAGCATAGTAAAGTATCTATCTTTAGCATACTAAAGAAGCAAGTATTCTAGTGCAAGAAATATATAGTCCTATGTACACATCTGTACATGTTGGCAACATGAATGCAGTACTTTAAATACTGCGCAGTATTTCCCTTAAGTGCTCTGTAGTTCTCTGTACAATTTCAAGAAGACAGTTTTTTGTTTCTGCTCTGTAGTTCCTCAAATTGGTAGAGAAGTGTCTAATTCCACTGTAACTTCAACACTTTGAAAGGTGTGGCTGAGGCAAAACTTCGTAAACAATGCATTCTTGCGTTCTTCCCTGCAATTTCACATCTTAATGAGGAGGGTTGAGCCGAATTGCTAGTCTGACTATACAAAAAGTAATTGTTTTAGATTTGGGTATTGCTGGACTTTAATTCACCCCCACACATTCTTGCTATAACCAATTCTCAAAATATAAACATAAGTCCTATTGTGAATGTGTTACTAGTTTTCTGGTCATGGAAGATAAACACTTAAAAAAAGAGCATAGCTTTCAGACAATGTGAAGGCAATGTTTTAATATGCCTCACACTGACTTCAGCTGTTCTCTCTCACAATGGACTTACATAAGAGCTTTAGGCACTGCAGGGAACAGGGAGGCTACAAGTAAAACAAACAAGCTGTAATGTTCTAGCCTTGCATAACAGTCATTTGGGAGGATATTAAGTCACATGTCATGGTGTAAATGTTTTCCATAACATTATTATCAATCCAATATACTACTTGGTGTTACCTTTAATTCATAATAATTTCCTCGTACACTTTCAATATGGCAACAAAATGTCTCTAGTCGAATTTATATGTTCAGATCCCAAATTTAGCTACAGTTCATGCAGTGCACTTATTGGCAAAAGCAACTTTAAGTATTAGAGAATCTTAACTTGGGTTCTTTAATCTGTAATCCCTCTTTTGTCCAGGAATAGGCCATGGAAGAAAAGCTTTCAAAGGTACGATAATAACCTAGAGTTCTAAAACAGCTGCAGTATTTTCAAAATGCTGCAGCTCGTGTCCTGACTAGAACCAGGAAGTATGATCACATTAGTCCAGTTATCAGGTCTCTGTACAGGCGTCTTTTTCAGAACAGACTTTATAGCGGTTCTGCATATTACTTTCCATGGCGTTGCACCAAAGTACATCTGTGACATTTTAGTGCCATATGAACCAACTGGGACTCTGAGGAGCACAGGGACTGGCCTTCTACTGGTGCCCAGAGTGTGGTCTAAACATGGAGAGGCAGTGTTTCAGATTTATGCAGCCAAAACAGTCTTCCTCTTCTGACCAACCGTTTTTCTCATTCATTTATCAGTTTTTTATGAATCAGTTATTTTTGCCCAAAGGGAAAAATGCTGGGTTTTTTATTTGATTAAATTTCAGTTGACCTTGGGTGAAGGTGCAGCTTTTTACCAATATCTATTTATCTACTAAAGTGTAAATCCTGATGATTCATGGGCGTCATAGATTGGTTAGCACTTTTGAGGTGCTTGTGCTCCCCTGATCTATACGTTGGAAAGTACTGCTTCCATCATACTTAATAAGGATTACTGAGGATTTTTGCATTTCAAACTTTATACATTTTATACCTAATCAGTTGCTTTTTCATGAAATGCAAGTCTTTTGTGGTGTCACTTTTTAATCCATAAATGGCTGAGTTAGTTTAGTTGACCCAAGAATTTTTATGGTCAGCTACAGCCCTACATCAAATGCCTTCTGGCCAAATAAATGTTTGCGTCGGGCTTGACTTTGCTCTTAATATTTTGATGTAACAACTAACTAGTGATTCCCTGGGAGTCTTGGCTTGATCAGAGTCTGTCTTGACCGTAAAAGGCAGCTTTTAACTGGGCACATCTCGGGCATGTTTGAAACCCGCTGGTCTTCAGACTGCAGCTACGATTGTGCACTCGACTGTGTGTTGGGGGCTTGTATGTGCGGCGCCTTGTCTCAGTATGTTGTTGAACAAGCAGCTCTATGTAGTCAGCTGTCCGGAGCAGTGCGAGTGTCATTAATCACAGAGGCAACACGGCACAGAGGGGAAACAGTCAGAGAGCGAGCCCAGAGGATGTAATCTTTACCTCAGACAAAGAGGAGGAAAGAGGAGATGGGGAAACAAGAGGCTAAAGCTTTTGTCCAGGGGTGAAGGTTAAGTGATATTTAGACATGGTTAGATTTAATGACTATGAGCCATGACTTTATTCACTTCAGATGATAATGCCCCAAGCTGCTTTGTTTTTAGGCCTCCAGCAAGCCGGGCAATACAGATGAGTATCTGTACTCAATACTTATGATCTATGTATTCACTCAAATGAATTTATTCAATGTCAATTCAAAATTTTGTGTTGAAGCTTTTTCTTAATGATCTGTTGTTACTAGGGTTGCAAAGGGGTGGAGCATTTCTAATACATTTCCAGAAGGTTTCCGGTAAATTTCATTGAGGTTACACAAGGGAACTATGCATATTCAATAACTAGGAACGAATTGTAATGTAGTTCAAATGTACCAAATCCAATCACAAATATAAATAGAAGTAATATGAAAACATACACAATCTTATTCTTTTGGCTCAACATTTTGGTCCAGTCTTCTAGAAATGTTCTGTACAAGTGATGGAGACATGCACAGGGCAGTAGGGGGCGTGGTTTCAATAGTCACGCAGTAATCCATGTGAGTGAGGATTTGAATGGCATCTGTGTGTTTTAGTGAATTTTATGATATAAAATATACTTTCGGACAAGATAAGATAGACTTTATGGATCTCGCACTGGACATATTTACTGTCTTTTGAACACTTCCCAGTTAATACCTGTTTATTGACAATGTACAAGTTGTTTTCATATCAATGAATGCATTTTAGTTATGCACTGTGTATTTTACCACCGCTTTTTTGCATACTTTGTTTGACTATCTGTGATATAATATTGATTTTGGGTCTATAGTGCTGTAATTTTGAAAAACTGTCCTTGTTGCGTAACAGGAGGGAGAGTTTGTGGTTCGAACCCATCATCTTGAATACTGCGATGGAGGGATTCTGGACCCCGACGACACGCTCAGCGATCTGGTGGAAGACAGAGACAAG